TACGATTGTAAGAGTGATCATGACGGTAGTGAGGAAGGGAAGACTTCAGACGTATGCATTTCATTGCCAAATTGCTAAGTGCTTCTTTAAGCGAGACAAAAACAAAGTCTTTCACAAGTAACACTTCTACTTAACAATTAGATTCCATGTAAGCGTGCGTCTGTTCTGTTATGGATCACAGATGACGTCGAAATGTTGTGAGAATTACAGTGTAGCATACGAAGCGCAGTCGTATCTGGCACTGATCTTAGCACATTTTGACGTCTTCTGTGACTTATTACAGAACAGACTCACGGCAACATGGAATCTACTTGTTTTTACAATTAAGAAGCAATAGTGACGTCATCTATACATCTGTCTTCCATTAGATCATACATGTAAGGAAGACCAAATTAACATTCGCATATAACTAAGCATAGTATATAACACAAGATGGACTATCTGAACTACAAGGATACAAAATTAGTTGAGGGATTAGCATAATTCCTCATACACTTCTTCATTTTGTTTCCCTCCATTTTCTTTTTGAAGCACCATATTGTAATATCCGGGCTTCTCGAGTTCTTCCTGTAACGACTGATACTCAGTAGGAACATGACACTCCTGGTTTGAAGGCCTGGGTTTGAGTTCCATATATAAATCCGGGTCTGAAGCGTGCTGATCACGTCGCTGTTGGTCAGGTGAAGATTTGACGCCATCAAAGTCAACTTTTTCTTTACTTCGTGTCCTCCTATTAGGAACAGCTCGTCTCCGCTGCCATATCAGCCCACAAATTATAATGAGCAACACGACCACAATACAAGACAATGCGATTACACTAGCGAGGAAGATGCTTTGAGTATCTGGTGAAAGAAAACAAACGGCTTTCACACCAACTATCAAACACTGAAGACTGCTTAGTTACTTTGTTTCACTGCAATGATGTGGTTTTGTTTTGTTTTGTTTTGTTTTTTTTTTTAGTATATTTACCCTAAGGAATACGACGTTGTTTTTTAACCCCGAAACGTGAACCAGTTCCAACCTTTTTTTTGCCTCGTCTCGTGGTCTTGGAGAAATACAGACATATTTTAGCTTTGAGCCTTTCTAGACTTAGTTCATATGGCTCTGTTTTGATTAAGTTACAACCTAATAGACCAATTATGATATATGGAATGGTTACACTATAATTACACCATTATAACTTTCTAATTAAAGAAAGAAAATCTAACTTCACACAGAAAAACGTCGGCGTATGAGACCACCACCTAATATTGCTTTTGATACATAAATGGTTATACCAGACAACAGTAACTGGAAGCCCATAAACTCCACGCTGGACTTCAAAGTTCTAAGCTTTCCAAAATTTTTATGAAGAAAACATTTAAGCACGTTCAAAGATTAAGGAATATTTATCGTTTTGAGGGTATTTACCGCCATCATCTTCATTATCCTTAGGAGAAAGCAGAGTGATTTTATACTCTGTTGAACCAAAGCTGTTTGTAGCGTGACACACATACTGCCCATAATCTTGTACATCCCGTGGCGTGACAATGATACTGTTATTCATTAACTTGATACCACCACCAGTTGGAACCTGGCCATCTTTAGTCCAAGAGTAGTTAAACGGAATATAGCTTGTTGCTTGACATGAGAGCAAACACGGAGTTTGCTTTTCACACATCACTGAAGAAGGGGAAATTTCTACGATAATTCTTGGTGGCACTGTGTGGAAAAAAAAGGAAAACGTAATGATAACAAAACAAGTTTAGACAAAATCATGCTCAAGACAACGGAAAAGGGGTGTGACAAACATGTGGCAACACTGGACATGACCTATTTTTGGTCTGGGTGCTGAGTGGTGGTTTGTTTAGTTGTTATGAGTGTTGCTTTAGTTTTTGCACCCCTCTATTACAAATTTCTAACATCTGTTTAGTACTCAGTACACACTCGAATTCGTCAATACCTTGGTAATAAGTGGTTGGGGTAAGGTTGAGACTAGTTGCAATGGTGATTATCGTGGCGCTTTAAAGAACCATGATTAGTTATTTCTTTAAGCAGAGGTTGGCAAATTTCTATAACTTAAAATAATAAAAAAAAATACACTTACTCCTTCACAGATTTATTTCATGAAAGGAAATGAAAATGTTATTGCTTCCCAATATTCAATGCAAAAGTAGTAAACTTTCTACTTACCAGCGACAATGACTATCGTAGCTGTACGGCTCTCTCCAAACATATTCATTGCTTTACACTCATAAATGCCACTGTCACCAGGAACAACATCTCTTATAATGAGTATCTTCTTGTTGTTCTCGAACTGAGCGCGAGGTATACTGCCAAGTCCATCTTTGGTCCAGGTAACAGAAGCCTTTGCGTCTCCACTAACCTCACAAGTCAGCACTGCCAGTTCGCCAATTTCTGTAATGGTTGTCTTTGGGAGACCTTTGATGATAGGTGTACCTGAGTTTTTATAAACATAAAGTATTTTTTCCTTAACAAAGAGCAAGGCACAAATACAGCATTGAGGCTTTGCAGCTTATCTCTTACCGACAAAAATATAATTTAAAAGCCCCTCGGTTGATTGGAAACTTACAAACTAAGAAAGACAATTAACACAGCATGAAAGTCTTATATCAATAAAAAAAGCTCACAGATCAGACGACATTGAGTTAACTTTGGTTGCTGAATGCTAGATGCCTCTGACAAAGGAAAAGTATAAAAATAAAACAAAAAAACAAAAACAACACAAAAAAACATTACCTTTAGTGTCGATGTTTACAAAGTTACTAGAGACATAAACCGTCTGCAAAATATAACCATAAAAAACAAATTACTCATCTGCAACCTTTTGCTGCATTTTGGTATGGCATAGTGACCCAGACTTCTTGAGCATTACAAGCCTCTTAAAAGCTGCTGTTATTGCACTGCATTCACTAAAACCAAAGAGCTGGTAAACAACGGCAAGATAATAGTTTGGGAGTGGAAAGTTCCTGAGATATCTGGGTGCAGATTCGGAGTACATAGATGGGTCAGTTTTGTCACTCAGTTCTTACATGGAAATAATAGGACATCCCTCTCTTATGAAAAAAGTCTTGTTAGAATACCTCGGAGTCAAAAGCCCTGAGGAACACTTTGTAGTTGGTATTCGGCTGCAATGGTTTGTTGTAATAAAACTGATCACCACTACTTCTCTTACTCCTTTCTTTACTGCTGGATTCCGCTCCATCTCCGACAACAAATTCTCGATTTTTATCAAAATCATTTCCTCCAAACTGAAAAGCGACATAAGCAGCAGGAACGGTAGATTTGTGCGCTTCTTCATACGTCATCATGTCTTGTGTTGTAAATCTTCCCGGTAGGTTAACAGCACCAGTATAGTTTGAGCTGTATGTAATGATGATAACTTGGAAAAACCTGCAAGGTAAGTCACATGATATTTTTTATGTAAACAGTATCTTGTAGTGTCAATTGTTAATTAAATTTTTTTTCGAATCAGCACATAGCAATGCACAAGATGTCTCATGATTATAACCGTAAAAAAGATCAAAGTGCTCTGTGAGCTAACTCGTGAATTGACACATGATTTTTTGGATTATGTTTAATGTTATCTGGTTTAGGGAATCTTGTGGTTGATTGTCACATCTAGAGTACGAGCAGTAGTCCAGTGTTCGCTAATGTAGCAAAGAAACAAAGTAACGTTGGGATAAGAAGGCATTACAATTGAAATGATCATGCTATTACATTTGACAAGGGTGGATGATGTCATGTGTTTTAAACGGATATCATTTTTGTTTCTGGCTTAAAAGAAAAGGTTGGAAGTAAATGAGGGTGAAAAGTGAAATTTACTGTCTATCA